CAATATGCGAACTTTCCATCCCTGATCAGCTCGCCTGTTGGCGATCTGAACCGTCCAGTCCAGCTCGCCAACAGACGAGCTGGCCATGCCCGACCAGCTCGCCTGTTGGCGAGCTGAACCAACCAGTCCAGCTCGCATGTTGGCGAGCTGAACTAAACCATCCATGCCCCTCGACTCTATCATACTCTGAACCGTGATCGTAACATCTATCGTTTCGTCTCGATCCTTCTTACCGTTGGAGTTTTACGATAAAAACCGTAGATTTGTTTTCTCGTAAAACCTCGAGTAAATCTTATAAAACGGAAACAGTTAAAAAAACACCGAAAATTTTCAAACTATACGATTAACTTGGGATGTTTTTATAAAAACCGCAAAAGACTTGTTTTCTCGTAAAACCTCGAGTAAATCGTATAAAACGGCAACGGTTAAACAAAACAACGAACATTGCTAAACTATATGATTAACTCGAGATGTTTTATAAAAACGGCATCGTATCAGGAAACGATTTCATCTAAAGTCGTAAAACGGCTAAATCGCAAAACGGCTCAGAAAGTCCTACAACACGATTAAAGCCTACTCACGACTTTAGACAAGATCCAGCCCAAAGATATAATGACGGCTTACTCATTATTCGCAGGAGTGGTAAAATAACAAGTATGAAGATAAAATAGAAGTTTTCCAAAGAAAAACTGGAAGATCAAGATAAATGGAAGATTTTTGATAAGCAAAAATCAGGGCGGAAAAGGAAAGACCAACCGCCTAGAGAAGAAGTATAGAAGCAGAAGGTTGAGGACAAGAACAAGGGGGATTTTTAGAGCTCTCATCTCACAGAAAAACTTAGCCCTTAGAGCATTTAGGCAATTTTCGTTTTTGTTATCGAGCTGCGTCTCAACTAGGGTTTTAGTCTTAAGTTGCTAGAACTATGAAACTCGCCATCAGCTCTTGTAGCCAAGGCTTTTACCTCGTTGTACCGTTCTTACGCTGAGGCAGAAGACAGTAAGAATGGTCGGGTTTCCTGTCGCATTGCAGTTGGTTGCATTTAGAGCAATACCGCAGTTGTTGAACGGTGCAGAAGGCGATGATAGTGTTACTTTGATGAACTTCCCTGGAAATGCGTTTCCACAACATGTTGGGTTAACTGTGCTAGATTTAAGAAGAGTCGGGCATGATCCAGGGGTAAGGGGCATCGATTTAGTAGTGCATTGTGCATGAATAAATGTGTAGACTATTGTAGGCTAGAAGATTTGAAACCGGAATATGTTGTTGGGTACATTTATTTAGTTGTGTACAGATTGGTGAATGTACAAGTTTCGGTGTTTATAAGGGACAAAAAAAATTAGTGTGTGTGTGGACAGGTTACAGGTGTGTACAGGCTAGAGTGTACGGTGAATGAAGGTAGACAAAGCAGGTTGTGTGGTTGTGGATAGCTAGAGTTGTGTATAGATAAGGTAGTGTACATTAGGACAATAGGTAGTGTGTAGGTTGGACTCAAACAGTGTGTGCGTGGACAGGTTATGGTTTGTATAGTGTGTGCGTGTACAGGTAGCGGATTGTATAGTTTTTGATGTATGTTAAAAAGGGAAAAACAGAAGTAGTGTTTTGTGTGGGGATAACTACAGCTGTCTACAGTTAATGTAGTGTACATTAGGTGGTTAGGTGGTGCGTAGGTGGAATGAACGAATAGTAGATGTACACCATTGTTGTTTTGCATGGAAAAACTGCTAATTTGGACATACGTTTGCATCTTATTGTGCAGGCACTGCTGGAGATAAGTAGTACGCACGAGGATAGGTGGGGCATAGTGGATGAAGAAAAGTTTGATAAAAAAGTGGAAACAATGCTGAAGCTTGTGAAGGATGGGTATGTGTTTACAAAGGCTCACTGGGTTAGCGGGGATGCAGAGGATCCACTGTACGATCATTCAGAGGCTAAAAAGACTAAGAAACGCGCAGGGAAGGGTGTTTGCGAAACTAGAGAAAAACCGATGCTTAAACAGAGGCGGGTAAGTGGGTTTGTAAAACGGGGTAATTTTGTGGATGCAGAGGAACATGCTGCATTGGAGGTGCACGTGGGAGGCCTGGAAGCAGAAGTTGCAAGGCTAACACAAGTATGTGCAAAACAGGCTCGTACATCAAAGAAATTGAAAAGGCAGAGGAAGGGAAAGCAACTGCGCATGATTTTAAAAAGGAGAGAAATTAGGAAGAGGGAGGAGAAGAGGAAACCTGAGGGCATGGATACTGACATGAGTGAGGAGGGCGATGTCCCTGAGATGGATAACTGTGTATCATCGGAAAATCGTCCGGCAACTCAACAGCCGGAGACAGATGACGCCGGACGTGGTTAAACCTATAGTCGATGAGGTATAGATTTTAATTACTGAACTTAGACCTGTTTGAAACGTGTTTAGTTGAGAAGTATTCTCTATTGCTAGCGAGGTAGTAGCTTGGATGGAGACCGCTTGGAGAAAGAGGCATTAGATGATGGGATTGACGATGAGGTAAATAAAATGTGGACCCAAAAATGAAAATGGAAAAGACACATGTGGCTCACCCTAATTGCGGATGTGTAGGAGATGGAGAGATTGAATGTATTAGTTGGGGCTACAGCACAAATAGGTGGGGATTTGGGAAGCAGGAGTATTGACGCAAATAGGTGGGGATTTGGGAAGCAGGAGTATTGACGCCATAGAGAATGCTGGTGTGGCTAAAGTGGCAGTAGATGTACAGGTACTTTGAATGAATTTTGATGTTGTACATAATATATGGTGGTTGTAAGATGTTGATGCGTGTGTTATATACATCATAGGATTTCGAGTTTGATAAAGGCGAGGCTGGTACGGGGGATGATGTGGTAGATGAAGAAGCGGAGGAGAGTACGGAATCAGGAATCGGAAAAGATAGTCAGGTAAACATCCATAAATCTTGGTGTGGTGTATGTGAAGAGGTTAAGTGTACATTGTTTTACGCATACAGCACATGTTTGTACATGAGTTATTAGTTTGTACATGAGGATGAGAATTGATAGATGATTAGGCTTATTCGCAGGCTGTGGAAGAAGCGGTGGATATTAAGTAATCGGAAACCAGAAAATATAGTAAGGTAAAATCTCTGAATCTGGCTGTTGTTTTGCATGTACAGCTAATAGTGGTAAATGTTTGTTGGATTTTTACATATAAAAGATGGGTGTACATTTTATTTCGTGTACATGCAAATGACTGTTGGATATTGTAACCTGTGAATTTGAATTGATAAACGATTTGGCGTACGAAATGGCTGTAGAAGATGGGGTGGAGAGTAAGGACGCTGAAACCGAGAAAGAGATTAAGGTAATATTCTTTTTGACCTGTGGACAAGCAGGATTAGTGTACATATTGGTTGGCATGTACAGTGTATGGTACAGTGGATAGACGTGTTGGTGTATTCGTAAGATGTGGAAGATGGAGGAACGGAATATATTGATAGTGGAGATAACCTGACAGATGAAGAAGCGGAAGAGAGCACTTGCGAGAAGGATGTTTTGGTGGTCACTGATCACCAGCATCTGTGACCGAGAAGCATAAGCCAGGTGGGGAGGAGGAGCAATTAAGGGCTAAAGTATTAGCAAAAAGTCCAACCGTGCTGGCGGATATGGTGCTTTTTTTAAGATTGCAATTATCCTTTCTTCCAGAAGGTTTTGCAAGCTAATCTTATAGCGTAAGTTAAAAGTACCCGAAATTGTGTTATATTATCGTTAGTTTTTGGATGGGAAGATAGTAATGGTTTTGTTTTGTGTGGCAGGATGCATCTGAATGCAGGGAGACATGATCTTGACAACGATTTTTTTCTGGAACTGGCAACACCAGGAAAATGGGTGTCTAGCACGGTAATCGGAGACATTGAAAATTTTCCAAATAATTGTAAAGATTTTGTTGTGTATGGATGAGAGGCTAATTCTTTGTTGTTTGTTGTGTAGCATATTCAAGTGCTGATGGAATACAGTGAGAGGCGGTACGGTACGGGTTAATCATTTATCTGAGGAGGGTAATGTTTGTTGCACCATGGTTCACAACATACATGCAAAGGAGGGAAAGATCTGTTAAGGCAGCTAGACACAAAACCCGGGTAGCAGGGGATACGAAGATCGCCAAGTACCTTAGTAAAAATGGACAGAAGTGGGGTGAGGATGTAGACACACTGTATGCCCCTATGATTTGGGAAGAGTGTCACTGGGTTGGATTGTGTATCAGCCTCACGGATTGGAGTATTTTGGTGATGGATCTTAACCCCCGTTTGAAAACAATGGAAGAGGTAAAGGTGTTGATGGAGCCAGTGTGTGTCTTAGGATGTACGTAGATGTGTGTTAGGATGTACCTCAAAGTGTACATTAAAATGATGTGTGCACGTGTACATTAAAATGACTGTAATGATGTCCACGAAGGAGGTGTACATTAGTGTATGTACAGTCCGTGTGTAGTGATGATGATGTACAAAACTGATATACGTTTATTGTTAACGATGTGTGCAAGTGTACATTTAATTGATTGTACCGATGTACAGCTTTGATTGTGTACATTTAATAGTGGGTGTTGCTGTACAGAATTGACCTACATTTCATGTTTGTACGTTAAAGAGGGTACGTGTACATTAAAATGACTGCAATGATGTACACGAAGTGTTTGTAAGGGTGTACATATAATTAGTATGTACAGTGAAATATAAATATGTGCATATACGTATTCGTTAATGAGGTATGTACATGTAATTAGACAGGTGTACAGGTATTTGTTACGATGAACATGACGGTGGGTATTAGGCCGTGCATACATGAATCGTTTGTAACTAACTTTATTATTTTTTTAAATAACTCTTTAGGAATAAAGTACAAAATGAATATGTGAAATATCTATGGTACAAGTGTATAATTATGCAACATCACCGATTCAATACAATTATCAAAATGATTTACTAATCATTTAAAAAAAAAAATTGAACAAATATGATTACAAAAAAAATACAAATATGATTATATAGAAAAACACAAATATAACAATTAAAGTTCTTAAAAGATAAAAATAAAAATATACCCGTCTTTTGAGTTAGAATCTAGTAACTTTATAAGAGAACACCATCAGAATGATTGACTCTTCTATACATAATTGATGGGCGGATATAAGAGAATTCATAGGCACAATTACAAGCAGAAACCACCAAAAGGAAAGAAAAAAAGCTAGACATATGTATTTAAGTATTTTACCTAAGCTAGACGACGTATATATTCGTTTCCTCTCTTTTTTTTGGCGAGACAAGATAGAGTGATCAAGAAGCGAGACAAGCTTCCCAGAACATTCGACTTTTGTCCATCTCACTGACCACCTCACTAGAATCAACGCTCAGTTTTACAAAGTGGCTTATCCCGCATCTTCTGTAGCTGTTCACCTCCCCTTCTCCATCCTCGTCATCTTCCTCTACGGCGGTGAATATTCTTTCTTCGTTCACCGTATCCTCCTCCTCCGGATCAAAACTATGTCTCTGACTCGTCGCCGTCATACAAGACGTCTCGTACAAACTGGTACTACAAGACTTATCATCGCCATCATTGGATTCGCCGCCGTCGAGGGCTTCATTGATCTGAACGGTGCCTTCGCCATCGGAATCTGCAAATTCTTCGAGGAGTAAAAACGGTGACACATCAAACTTGGTTGTGTTCATATTTCTCTTTATTTTTTTAATCAGGACAGAGGATATATGACAAGAGGCACCAGCTGTTAGGTATTGTACAAGTATAGATCTATAAACATACATATATGCAAGAACAATGTGGCATTTATAGTTGACGACGAGGACGTCTTCTTTTAATTTTATTTTACATCGCTTTCCATGTCATGATCCATCTGTTATACAATGTCAGTTTGTATGTAAATTAATCACGTGCAAGTGAGTAGTCGGCGTCTAGAAGGGCGGTGTAAACCAACAAGTGTATATAACAAAAAGTTGTATACAATTAATAATATAATAAAAATAAAAAGCAATTGCCAAATCTGAAAATGAAGCGTATATTAAGCATTAAGCCTTCTAGAAAGACGAAGCACTAATTCCAAAATTCAGATACAATACACCCACCATAGCTAGCTAGTCAAAGTGTCAAAAGCTTTCAGATCTTTTTATTATTTATTTTGCGTCAACTATCTCCCAAACAAAATTTTGATTTTATTGACTTTGTGGGGCCTTTAGTCGAAAGGAGGAGACAAAGGTTAGATGAAATATTAAAATTTGATTAGTTAAAGTGATCTGATATTTATCTTTAGTCATAGAATCAATCAATGCGGTTACGCAATTTAAAATGATCATTAACCACCTACAGTAGTAATTAAAGAACAAGTAGAGCCCAACTTAAATGGGCAGCTCTCTTTCTATAAAAGGATAGCAGGCCTTGAAACGAAATAGGCCCATTAGGATCCAGTTCCGTGACCAAAAAAAATATCCCCAATAGAAAGTCCCAATTCACGAGCGAGGAGAAAGAAAGTGGATAAGAAAATCTGTCTTCTTCACTCAGTCTCTCGCCGTCGTTAGACATGGCTGCCTCCTCCGTAGCATGCTGCTGCTTCTCCTTCTCCTTCTCCTTCCTTAATGCACCCGTTAAACTCCAATCTTCCGCCTCTCCACCCATTTGTTTCGTAGGCGCATCGTCGCTGACTCCCCGAGCCAGCTCGAGTTCTAAACTAAACCCAGAGGTACTGATTCAATTCCCAATTCATGTTATTTTTAACCCAGTAGGCTAGCTAGCATCTTCCAATGTTTTGGAGTTTTCATCTAAACCAGAAGAAGAAGAAATACGCAGTGAGAGTGAGAGTGAGAGTGAGAGATGAAGATTCTTCGAATGATGGAACCCAAACGATGGCGTTCAAGTCGCCCTCGTTTGGGTCTTCTCAGAAAAAGGATAAAAAAGAGTCTCAGCCTACTACTGATTTGCGGGTACTTCCACTATTTTTCTGCATTATGTATTTTAATCTAATCTAATCTAATGCCATTTCCATAGCAGACTGATCCTGCCAAGATTCACGATGCATCTTTTCTCGACGCCGTTGTAAAGGTTTACACTTTTCAATCATTTATAAATATTTATGCTACACTCCTATCTCCTTCCTTCATTCTCCCTGCTTGTTTTGTTGTTTCTCAGGTTTACTGCACTCATACAGCTCCTGATTACTCCCTCCCTTGGCAAAAGCAGAGACAGTTTACCAGCACTGGAAGGCAAAGTCTTCTTTTCAGATTTTTTAATTTTTTAATTTTTTTTCTCTCTCTCCCTTATGTCCTTATATTATGGTTTATTACGTCTGCAGTGCTTTCATGATTGGAGATGGCAAGCTCTTGACAAATGCCCACTGTGTCGAACATGATACTCAGGTTTACTTTCCTTCTCTCACTTCTTCCCTACTTTCCCCTTTTCTTCAAAAACAAAAACAAACCTTCTTCATCAGGTTAAAGTCAAGAGAAGAGGAGATGATAGGAAGTACGTGGCCAAGGTTAGTTTTTGCATCTATGATCATTATTACTTTCAGATCCACGTGGTTTTAATCTTCTACTTTCATTTAGCCACGGAACCCTTCACTTTTCTAATTGGTACTCGGGAGTTATAATCTCTCTTGTTATTTAATACCAACATCTATCTACCTACACAATTGCAATGTACAGGTTTTGGTAAGAGGTGTGGACTGTGACATAGCTTTGCTCTCAGTAGAAAGCGAGGATTTCTGGAAAGGAGCTGAACCACTGCGTCTCGGCCATTTACCCCGCCTTCAGGTTTTAATCCTCTCATCAGCTCATGATGCTCTTTTCAGCTTTCTTCAAGTGATGGGGGGGAATGTTGTTCTTTTTTGGTGGTGTGCATGTCACATTGAAATGTTATACATACAGCATTCCTTTTTCCTGCAATAATAGCATAAAAATCTTCTTCCCTTGCCTTTGATTTGAAGGATTCAGTAACTGTCGTTGGGTATCCTCTAGGAGGAGATACTATCTCTGTTACAAAAGGGGTTGTATCACGTATAGAGGTTTGGCCATATCTTTGACTTTACTTTTCTGCCACTATATTTCTGTGTATGTTTTAAGGACTTCTCCTCGTTAAAACTTTGGGAATGCTAGGTAACGTCATATGCTCATGGATCATCTGATTTGCTTGGAATTCAAATCGACGCAGCAATAAATCCAGGTCAGTGGATCATATCTAATTCATTTGTTTTCCTTTTGCTCCTAGTATCTTGCACTTTGTTCTAAAACTTGAATATGACTTGTTCTTTTCCCTAAAATTGTCTTCGAGGACATTCATCTGTATTATTGTGATAGCCACTTCTTAAACTTGTTAGATTTTAGGGAATAGTGGTGGCCCTGCTTTCAACGACCAGGGGGAATGTATTGGAGTAGCATTTCAGGTAACCTCTTTGGGATATTCAGCTACATTGTATCTGTTTCTGATTCGCATTCCAAACGACTTCTTATAGGTTTACAGATCCGAAGAGACCGAAAATATTGGATACGTTATTCCAACAACAGTTGTTTCTCATTTCTTGACTGATTATGAGAGGAACGGAAAGTACACTGGTAAGATTTTTCTCATATGGTCCTGCAAGACCGTAATCTTCTGGTTTTAGCCTTTCTGTCGTTGTTTATTAATCTTTATAAGCTTTTACTCCTGCAGGTTACCCTTGCCTTGGAGTATTGCTGCAGAAATTGGAAAATCCAGCTCTGCGGGAATGCCTAAAAGTGCCTACGAATGAGGTAGATTTGCTTTGCTAAGTTGTGTGTCTTGTCTAAGATAAGCCAACATAATTTTTCGTTCCTAACAGCTTAAGTTTACCCAAGGTGATTTAATTTTAATTTTGAAGGGGGTGTTGGTGCGAAGAGTTGAACCTACATCTGATGCAAGTAAAGTCCTGAAGGAGGTAAAGAGCATTGATCTTAGGATTTCGCTCCACCGAATTTCCACAATCAAAATTTTCGCATCCTTGATTTCTGTAATACGTGACTAGTGTTAATTGTTGAATCAGGGAGATGTGATTGTAAGTTTTGATGATCTACGTGTGGGATGTGAAGGAACTGTACCCTTCCGATCAAGTGAACGTATTGCATTCCGTTATCTCATCAGTCAAAAGTAAAGACCTCTCTCTATTTTCCATAAGTGTAATGATTTCCTTTGCATTTTTTTTTCATTTGTGACTTTTCATTGTACTTAACAGATTTGCAGGTGATATCGTAGAGCTTGGTATCATTAGAGTAGGAGAACATAAGAAAGTTCAAGTTGTTCTGAGGCCAAGAGTGCACCTGGTATGACTGTCTGCATCTAATTCTACCATATTTTAAGCTTCCCGTGCTTCAAGCCTAGTAAGCTAATTACTAAAGAGCTCCATCTCCTTTCTTTCTTAAACAGGTCCCGTACCATATTGATGGAGGTCAGCCATCATACATAATAATTGCTGGTTTGGTGTTTACTCCGCTCTCAGAACCCCTGATAGAGTATGTTCTCCTCAGCTTGCTAGCATGCAAAAGGAAATAGAATATTTCTTCATTATTTAGCAAATACCTAATTGTTTTTATTGGGTATGAGCAGGGAGGAATGCGAGGACAGTATAGGCGTAAGTGCACTCTAATAAACTTGTGTTAGGTTAATTTATAGTTCCAGCGTAACTGCGTTTGCATTCTCATTCTTAGTTTGTGTTCCTTCCAATTTTGTAGTTGAAATTGTTAACAAAGGCACGCTACTCCGTGGCAAGGTTCAGAGGAGAACAAATCGTCATCCTATCACAGGCAAGCCATAACGACGTTTTGTTTCCATGTGCATTTTGGCGAATGCAATAGCATTCTTAGAGTTCTCTTTTTCTCATTGGACGAGCATGTGTAGGTTTTGGCAAATGAAGTAAACATTGGCTATGAAGACATGAACAACCAGCAGGTCCTGAAGTTCAATGGAACTCATATAAGAAACATCCATCACTTAGCACACCTCATTGACATGTGCAAAGATAAGTATCTGGTTTTTGAGTTTGAAGACAATTATGTCGCCGTGTTGGAGAGAGAAGCTTCGAATTCGGCTTCTTTGTGCATCCTCAAAGATTATGGAATTCCCTCAGAAAGATCCGCTGATTTGCGTGAGCCATATGTAGATCCAATAGATGACACCCAAGCACTTGACCAAGGTTTTGGTGACAGCCCTGTGTCAAATCTTGAAATTGGCTTCGATGGACTGGTGTGGGCATAAGGGTTCAGAGAAACAGAGTTTTTTTATAAAAAATCTGCAGATGGAAGCTACAGGAGCTTCCCATAAGCTATGGGAAAGCTTCAGCTTCATACTCATTGATAAGGTCTTGACCTCTTCCAAGCTCAGTTCATTCGTTCTTCTTTCTTCAGATCTCTTGGGACTGAATTTGATAGAAAAATTGCCATAAGAATGCTCTCCCTTGTGTTCAGATGAGTGTAGATTTATGTTTAATGTCTGATTTTGATGACAAATGAAATGCAGTAATGTCTGCTCTTACATATACCAGAGAATCTCTGCTGATGTTTTCGATTTTATATTTATCTCATGATCTGGCCTGGTTAACCCAATCATGATATTGAAGGATGGGAACTTTTCTTGAAAAACTCCCGATACCGAGAAGAGTTGAAGATGGTGCAACATTGAATCCTCTTACTTTAACTTTTAGTCTTTACTATAACCTAAGATTATTGTAGAAACAGGAAAGCAATAACAAGTTAAAGCTGGCACTCACTTCAATATCAAGGGAAGAGCTTCAAGGGACTCTACTTCCTTTATTTTATTACATAGTTTGTTTTCTACTCAGAATATCAAAACATCCAAACACTCCTACACAAACCAAAACCTGACAAATCACATTTCATGTGCTCTGCCCTTAAGCAAAAGGTCCACAACTAAACCCACCAATTTTGTCTTTTACCTTCTCTATAGCTGTATATCTTTTTTTCTTCAATTTCTCATCCTTTTAAACCTCCTAAGGTCTCTTCTCATAGACTCATTCATAGAAAGAAACCATGATCGTCTCTGTTTTAGTCGCCTTCACCGTTCTCTCACTCTGTTTGCACACTTCAACATCTGAATTGCTACAGTTTCAGCACTCCACCATATCAGCTGCACCTTCGTTTTTGCCTGAAGCTCCTTCGAGTTTCTCAGTTTCTCCTCCGGAGGCTATGTCTCCAGATATATCTCCTTTGTTCCCTACTCCAGGCTCAAGCGAAATGTCTCCTTCTCCGTCAGAATCTTCTGCCATGCCAACAATCCCCTCGAGCCTTAGTCCACCAAATCCAGATGCCTTCTCTCCTGATCCTCTGCTTGACTCTTCTCCGGTGGTGTCTCCTCTTCTTGCTTCTTCCTCTGTTTCTTTGGTCCCGTCACCAGACTCACCACTCTCTTTGCTTATTGTTTTCCTCACGTTAATGTTACCTTTCTAATCAATTATTTTGAAACAAAGTGAGAGACTAGGCCCTCTTTGACATCTCGTTCAGAAAAAACAAAGAAAAGAATTCACACTGCTTCTGATGAAATTTTATTTTAATTGTATAATTTAATATTATACACTTCTATTATTGTTCGTGTGAGGCACTCTGCTTGTCTGGCCGGTGCAGTTGTTGTACTTGTAACAGTGATATGGGTTTTGTGCTTGAGAAAAAAAAAATCAAATTGGATTGGATCCAGTTAATAATATCTCACATGATGCTGTCTGAAACTGTCGTTGCTTGTTGTGATGGAACAAATCAAACATGAATTTAAGTAGGTAGATGATACAGCACGAAACCACATAATCTTATATAAAGATAAAGAGTAGAATCGAGTAATAAGACGGTGAGTGGAATTCACCAATGCTCTTGAGGAGGTAGATGGTGAGCACAGAAAAGAGTCCGCTAAACGATCTTGTTGCAATCGCACATAATGTTTGAACAACTTTTTGAGACTCGCTGCACCAAGACGTTTCTTGATCCTCAAGTTAACGTCTAGGTAGTAGAATTTTACTCTCAATTTTTTTTTTTACAGAATTGTTATTTAAAATTTGAACCTCTGCTGTATTGTACGAATCCATCCAATGGTTCTTACAATATTTTTTTTCCCTTGAGAGATGAAGTACATTAGACAGAATCGGTGGTTGTTTGATGATCGTATTCGTCGATCAAGTCAAAGAGCTGGTCGCCGATACCGAAGCCGAGCATCCTGGCCATGTCGGAGGTCTTGAGCCTGGGCTTGGGGACACCGTGACGTTTGAGCCATGGATAGACCACAAACACTTTGCTCATGACGAAAAGCTCCAACGCCTCGGGATTGAAAACAACACCCATTCTCAAGCTCATCTGGTGAGGGACAAGCATGGCGGCGTAACGAGCAAGCTCTCCGGCTCTCCAGTCAAGCAGAAGAGGAAGCCAAGGGTACATGGCATCGAGCCTCACGAACCACAGCCTTATGTCCGGATACTCGGAAAGCTCACGGGGATCCCCTGGGTCTTCTCTCCTGTAATTGATCGTGAATCCGATGGTCCGATCCAGATACCCTCTTGGATCAGCTAGTTCACAAACACACAGAAAAAATCAGCAAATGCTTGATTCCTCCACCATCATCAACAACAAGCATTTTTAATGATTGATTACTTGAGGAAGGTGAGGTTATGCCGGTGGCGGTCTGAAAAGGAGATAAGTCAAGCTGCTGAATTGAGTGGTTGTCTATGACTACTTCGTATCGGCCGGTCGTTGGAGGCATTGGAGGTTCCACTTTATCTGAATCTGCTCCCAAGTTTTCACACTTTTTTGTGTCTGAACGTAATAGTATTATTTGGCAAAATGAGGAACGTACCGTCGTGAGAGTCGAAGGAAGAGATATCGAAATTGCCAGAAGGATTGAAGGCGACAGAGACAGATACATCCTTCTCTGCTTTCCTCCCTCTCACACTCCATAACCCGGGCAACTTAACAACTGGAAACAGAGAAGAAGAAGAGGATGATGGGATAAGCCACGGAAGTAGACCTGCCTTTGCTGCCGCCATTGGAAAACCAGTTAAATTAACTTCAAAATGATTCTTCTTTCTCTCGTCTTATACATTTTGTGTGGTGTGGTTTCCTTTCTTTATCTTCTTCCTTTGGCCTTTTCTGTCTATATTTTCCTCCTCTTTTAGTAAGCTTTCAACAAACCTAAATTATCCAATCAAACCTATTAGTTATACTAATTGATGATCTATCCAAATGGTTATTTTCGTCCAGGTAAATCCTATACCTGCCAAATTTGTTTTTAATGTCTTCTACGCAGCCTCATAGAGTACAAGAATAAGTCCTCCAGTAATCATGGCCCATTTATTGATTCCCTTCAGCCCATATCGAAGCTATAAGTATCCCTCTCGCCCGCCTAACAATCATCATATTTAACACTATTAAAAGTTCTTATTCTAGAGTTTTTGCACTGTCCCCGTAGGATAATTTAATCGACAAATCACATAACATTAAGTCTCCATGTCACCTCCACGTCACCTTTGGTTCACTAATGAAAATTATAGGGTTTTTTACACGAGACTTCGCGATGAAACCCGATGAAAAATCTCCACCGCTCAAAGTTTCCGGCAAAACCCTCTGCCTCCTCCACCAACGCTGTCTCCGTTGATCTCATGCCGAAGAAACGAAACGGTAAGGCGGTTCTCCACTCCGATTCCTCCCCAAAAGCCGATGCAGTGTTGTTCTTCAGAGATGTCCAATTCGGACCAAATGAAGGCGAGTTAAGGTTTCGTCTAATCCACTTTTGGGGGGCTTAAAACCGAAAATCAAAGATACTTATTGGACTGGAGATGCTCCTCATCGACCAACAGGTTTATTCTGATATCTCTGATTCTTCTTCTCTCAGTTTAGGTTGGTCGTTATCATTTTTTGTTTGTGATATATTTGGTTTCCAGAAAAGTATGGTCGTAACTGATTCGTTGCTTTGTCGTTTTTTTTGCCGTCTAATTTGGTCGAGAACAACATTAGCTTTTCCGTTTAAGATGGGTAATAAATAATTTATTTGGTTTCCAAGAAAAGTTTGGTCTGTAATTGATTGCAATCTTGCACAAAGACTTCAAATCAAGAATGGTTAACTTTGAATGAGTATAAACATCTAATATTTTTTTGTTTCTTTTTTTTTTTGTGTAGACAGCTGTTGTATGCGAGAAGGTAATATCAACTGCATAAGGATTTTTTTTAGCCTTTGAAGATTCATTTCATAATGTATGTATTTGACACTACTACAGGTTAAAAGTATGCCTGAGCTGAGTGATGGTTACAGCATTGTGGGCCTTTCTCAGAGTAACATGCTTGTTCGAGCTATCAAATATACCATGTTAGCAATCAATTATATAAACAAACATTTTTCCGAGCCTCAAAAATCCAGTTAAAAACCTAGAAAAAAATTATATAACTATATAATATTACAAATTTCTAAAGTTACTACTTTATGAAAATTCAGTTTAATATAATTCGATATTTTAAAAATAAATTTCAGGTAGAAATAAAAAGAATAGTAAAAAATACTCAGAGCACTTACCAATTACCTCTAACAATATTTATGAAATTTTTGAAAAATATTCAACAAATCAATGTTTACCTTTTATCAATGTGATATAATTATTAGATCGAACACTTTTGAAATTGTAAGAAAATTCAACAATTATATTTTTCATGTGTATTTTTAGAGAGATTGATTTTATTGGAAAGAACTTAATTCTTAATCACTAATTATACAATACGAATCATATAGAATAGAATGAACAAAATAGTAAAGAAATCAAAACTTTAAATTATTGGAGTTCTAACTAATTTTACTATAATAATACTTTAAATAATGGGAAACTGCTAAAACTAGCACATTCATGATACACTATTTCACTTCTACATTAATCATCTTTACCACTAAAATTTTGATAGTCAAAAGACTATAGTACCCTTCATTAATAAAACATAAAACCTATTACCCTTAATTAATTAAAAGCCGGAGATCTCTTTTCTTCTCCTGTCACGAAAAGAACTCCAACGATTCGCCGATCTTCGACGACAATATCCGGCGAAGAAGTTTTCCAGGTGGACGACCCAGACGACTTAATATAAGTCGTCTGGGAAGTCTTCCAGGTGGACGACCCAGACGACTTAATATAAGTCTTCCAGACTTAGAATTAAAATGTTCCAATTTCGTTTCTTGTTTGCAGATGGCGAATCAGCATGAACCTCACTTCTTGAAGCCTCTGTTTCCTGGTTTCTGCAGTGGCGT